TTCAATTAATTTCTCAAATGGCTTCTTCTGACAACTTGGCTAGCATCGAACCATGGATGTTTCGAACATCTTTAGCTGATTCCTGGCTAATCGACGCCTTCTCTCGCGACACCGATACTCTCACCAAAGCGCTTCAGAAATCCTTTTCCGTTCCCGAAACGTTTACTTCGGATTCCTACTCTCCTTTCCTCGACCTCCTCCACTCCGACTCCGCCCCCGCCACTCCTTCCCTCTCCGCCTCTCCCTCCGAAACCGCTCCTAAGCGTTCGCGGAACACCGTTCCCCTGGCCGGTGGCAAGGTTTCGAAACGCAAATCGCGCGCGTCGAAGAGGTCGCATACTACGTTCATCACGGCGGATCCGGCGAACTTCAGGCAGATGGTGCAGCAGGTGACTGGAGTTAGATTCGGTGGGCCGCAAGTGCCTTTAGTGCCGATCGTGAAGCCGGAGCCACAGAGAGCGTGTAACCGGCTGGCGAGTGGTGGCGGTGCAGGTTGCTTGCCGACGCTCGATACGTCGGCGTATTTGTTGGATCACCAGCAGACGGCGGTGGGAGATCCGAGTTTAAATTCGCCGGCGGGAGTAGGCGCGTTTTCGGGTGCAGTTGCGGGTGAAGGTGGTGGTGGTGGTGGAGTTGAGATGGGGAATTTTCCGGTGTTTCCCACTCTAGAGTCATGGAAAGTTTTGTGAAGTTGAAACGCAGGATGGCGAGAGTCGTTTAGGTCATTTTTAATTTTCCTAAATATCTCTTTGTAACTCAAAGCCGTAGACTTTTGTATGAGAGGAGATGGTCATGTCCTTGTTAATAGGGATGGTGGGGGTATATAGCATTAGCAGTTCTTTTTTTTGTTTTGTACTTTTTTTTTTTTTTTAAATTGGTTTTAGTGGCAAATGGACTTAGCAATTGTGTACTTACAAATTAATGAAGGCTGGTAATTTAGTCTAATTTTGAAATTAATCTCCTGCACGTAAAGAGTTTTTTATTTATTGAAGCAGGGATTTAAGAGAAGCATTAACTTGTGGGCACTTCAATCATCTAAGAACTAATTCTTGCATATCTGTTTGAACATTTTTGTGCATTAGTTTCTTAATAAGCAAGAGTTTCAATAATCAAAAACCCAAAATAAATGTCTCTATCTACCTTCACATTGTGCGTACGTGTATAAAAGAAAGACCCAGAAAAAGTTAATATTCTCCCAGCTGAGAGAGGAAATAAAAAGATTCCCCCACTGTTCCAAGGAAAAAGAAATTTTATTAACCGTATGAGAGCTTGGTATAAAAAAGTTAGGCTTATCATAAGAAATCTATTACATTTGAAGATCACACTTTCATCGCGTTTCATTTTTCATTTTATATGAAAAATATAACTACATGCGTTGTTAATAACCAATTAAATGTCACATTCAATTTGGTTTTGATGAATGAAAAACTAAAATTTTAATTCAGATTATCATAGTACTTGTCAAATTGAATGAAAAAATTTAAATTTTTCTTGTCGCTGCATCAAGCAAATAATTATCCAACTACAATGATTAAAATACCAAAAATATGAGTAATTGAAGTTAACCTGCTACCAGAGAAAATTCTATTCGTAAAAGTATTGTTCTTATGAAGCTTTTATCTAATTAATTCTTAACCAATAAGATAAGGGTATTGAGTAATCATACGACAACAATATATATCACCAAAATATATTCGCATTCCTTTGGGCTCTACCTCTTCTCTGTGTCAAAAATTGACACTTATAAATTAGCATAAAAAAACACCAGCTAGTTGTTGCAGAATATATATATATGTATACTTTTTAACTTGAATTCAACTCTTGCCTAGCGTAAAATATATAAATATATGTATATAGGACGTATATAAATTAAAAGTTGGAAAGAGATAAACTACATGCCTTATGAATCTCAGCATAAGTTGTAATATTTAAATTTAATGATTCTAGATGGGGTGAGTGTCAATGAATACTTAATGATTTGTCATTACTATATTTATTACTTATGTTATTTGGTTTTGTTTTTTTGTTTTTTTTTTATTTATATATATATACACACACAATTTTTAGAAAATATTATTTTTAAAAGAAAATTCAACAAATTGAGGCTAAAATATAAAAGAAGAAGGAAGAAGGAAGAAGAGTTGTTTTAATGAAGTCAAAAGTTTAATTAAAAGATAACAAGTGGTTTGTTAGGTAATAGCACGAGCACGGTGGCTGACTTGAGTCAGTCTTCACTCTCAGGCTTTTAAGTTCATCAAATTTTCTAATCCCATCTTCCATATATTATTCCCAATTTGACCACTCCATGCCATATATGTAATTTTAAATATATATAATTTTTAATTTTTTTTTTTAAAAAAATTTGTTCTATTATATATGAATTTGTTCTTTCTGGGAAGGAGCAAAATGGGACTAGGAATATTATCAAAATTTGTTCTATTATATATTTATTTATTTTTATTAAATCAATCTGAATATTCCCGTGGGGGAAACAAATAATATATGGTTTTGTTTTTAAACTGTTTAAAAATAATAAATTTATGTAGGGTTTTTCTTTTTTTAAAAAAATGTTATAATAAAGTATGCAGGTATACAATGATGTCAGAAGAAGCAAGACCATACTTAGAATGAGAAAAAAGTTGGTTACGGGGTTGAACTTTGTTAACCCATTTTAATAAAAGAAATCTTAGTAATAAATAATTGGTACATCTTTTTCTTTACAAGATATCGTTGATTAAAATTGGATTTTAGCCCACATGCATATCTTCGTTTAGACTTATTTTAATTATATTATGCATCGCTTAATATAATTAAAATAAATTATATATTTCTGATAAAATATGAAATCTACATTAAAATATGAAGGGTTAAAAACGGTGGTGTAATTGAATAAAAACGACAAGAACGTATAAATAAGCGGTAGACGGAGAGGAATTAGGCCAAAGTCAAAAAGGTCAGGCTGGAAACACACTGTGTTGTCTCTATGTTATCATATTGCTAATGTCGCCACGTGTCGCATTCCACCAATCACCACCGTCCATTATCCCAACCGTACTTACGAATTAAATGCTGATCAGGAAAGGCGGGGTCAAATTTGTAGTGACGTGTCCGTTGACTAGGACCGGTATGGATGTCAATGAACGTCACAAGAAGCTACTAAAAGCTGACTCATGCTTGCGTCACCCCCTCGTCATCCAAATTGCTCAAACTCACCTGCTTCTTTCACCCTTCATCCTCACTTTCCTTCCCACCCAACAAGCAAAAACTAAGAAAAGGGCACCATGACCTCGTTTCCCACTTCCTGAAACTATTAGAACACCTCCCAAATCCTCCATTTTGATTACTAATTTATGTAACATGCAAACAATCTGAAAACAGAAAGTACGGATATTACGATTCCAACATGCACCTATTTAGCAAGAACCTCTTTGTGAGCTTTGAACGACAGAATCACATTCCAAATCAAAGCAATAACATTCGCGGCGAGTACCTGGAATCATTTTACCAATAACCACAGTTACAATCATGCGCGTATATCAAATTGATCTTAAATGCATAAAAATGTAAATGAAGATGTTGGAAACTAAATGGTGTCTAACTGCAGATGGAGAAACTAACAAGTTGTACAACTCCTTAATGTATTGAAGGGAAACAGGAATCCAAGGAACATCATGAAAGTACAACTCTTTGAGCCACTAGAACCACTTGAAATTTAATAAGCTGAGAGCTTGGCAAGGGAACAGAATATTAAGTTAAACAATATTGACACAAGACAAGTCATAAACAACTAATTACCTGGGTAAATAAAGTAAACCCAATTTGGCACAAGCAGTATACTACTTATCAGCTTTCCGTCTCAGTTTCAAGTATACATTTGGAGATGAGAAGAGTGGAAGTGCGGACCAGTTCACTTCCCGCCATGGAAACTAGCCAGCCAGGGAAAAGAGAAATGGAAAACGACCAAAATATGGCCCGTCAACTACATGGTCTCTTAACTATTTTAGACTCATTTTCAAGATGTTTTGTAAAAAGAGAGCGGAAGAGTCAATTGCAGAGAAGAGCCAGACAGACAAAAATTACTATACCAAAGAGATCTTACACCAAATACTATAATGGGGAAGCCTATTAATGGGGAATCATAGTCTTAGTGATGTGAGCACAACAAGCCACAAGAAAACCCAAAAGTCCAAGTAGAATTCCAAGATGTGGAGGGAAGAAAGAGTCCCGCCCGCACAGTTTTTTCTTTTGAATTTCATCATACCAAGGAGAAATCTACTTGCGCATAAAAAAAAATGAGTGCTAGAAAAAAACCAAAAATGCATCCTAAAAAGAAAAGAATTCATGAGAAGAGTTCTAGAGGAGAAAGAATTCCTGCCCCCGTGGGAATCCTACCTGAGGGAGAATTCTCACATCTCTTCCTTTTGGTGACCGAATTAAAGACAAATTGGGATTCTTTTTTGAATAGAGTTTCAAGTAAATTAATGAACTACGTGCATAGGAATTCTACTTCAAAGGGAATGACAAATCATCAAACAAAGAGGCAAGAAGAATCCAAAGTGAATTCGGCCAAAAGATTCCTAGCCAAATTCTCATCCTTAATTTTCTCATAAATAATGTTGAATTATTTCTTAGATTTTTATTCCTAGATTTTTTCCTAGATTATTTACTAGAATTTTTTTCTTAGATTTTCTCATAAATTTTCTCCTGAATTATTTCCTAAATTTTCTCCTAGAATTTCTCTTAGATTTTCTCCTTGATTTCTCATGGAAGATGAATTCTTTTCTACTTCAACATGAAAGCTTTTAAAGCATCTTCAAACTCAACTTCTACCACAAGAATTAATTAAATATTGAAAACCAAATAAAGTCAAATAAAACATAGAGAATTCAGCCGCAATACTCCTTAATCTCAAGATAGAATGGTTTATGTCTTAATTAAGTTGCTTATTTTAATTATTATTTTAATACTTTCCTAGATTAAGTTAAATTAAAGAATTTAATTAAGATTCTAGTTTTTGAGTTTTATTCAAATATATAATGTGAATGCCACTTTTAAGTTGTAATTCAATTCATCAATCATGTCAAATTAATAAAATTAAGATTTATTTTACCTTATGCTATTGTGATTACTTTTTGAGAGGGTTTTTCAACAATCTTGTTAAGTGAAGGATTGATTCAACTTATCAAGATAATTTCTTGTGGCGTTTTATCAATTTTCTTTCGAATAATTTCTAACTTATCAAATTCGTACTTATGGCGTTTTGATCAATTCAAATTACTCAATTACATTAGTTCATAATTCCAGGTAAGTTATTAGATTAAGTAGGAAGGATTTGTTGAGAGTGTAGGTTTTTGGAGAAAAAATAACAATTTTATTTCTCACTTTTAAATTATTACATTTAAGGTATTTATAAAATTTATATTTTACTGATAGGAAAATTCTTATTCTACTAAATTTCTAATTATATGAAATTATTATTTTCATAAAATTCTAATTATATAATACCGACTAATTAAATAATAAATTAAAATAATTAACTACTAAAATATGATAGTCAACAGAGAATTTTATGATTCTGTTTACTAATGTTATATGCGGATTTTTTATTGTGTTAATTGATCTTGGGTTCTGCATCACTCAGGCCTCAGCCTGTTTATAGGTTTTTAAATTCATAAAACCAAGGAAAATCACTCTTCCTTTGCAGCTCCATTACCAGTACTATTTAAGCAGGTTTTTTTTTTACATAATTTGCATATTCTTATATTCATCCTTTTTTTTTTCTTTTTAACCTTCTGAGGAACACATACCTGGAATTGCTGAGGCACAAATCTGAAGTTAAAAAACTGAAAAGGTATCCAGAGTTGCCAGTTTGCAAGAACAGATGAAAACCACTCCTAAAAAGAAAATTCACTGAGATCACAATCCTGAACAGAGGATATATTACAGCATCTAAGCAATTAAGAGACTTGGACTTGTGTGCAAAATATATAACTTTTAACGGGAAATGACAATGATAGGTCATAAGAACCACCTGTTGGAGCTTGGGTACTATTTGAGAAGGTCTTCCCTCTAATGTCAATAATGAAGATAAGAAAACTCCAATGAAGACTGGAGCAAAGATAAACTGCAAAATCCAGAACCAAATAACTTAAACAGACAAATATAATGATGCAAAGAGCAAGATATCAAATTAGGCAGTCATGTCACCTGATCAACTAAAAGTCGGCAAAATGCACCTGAGGCGCCCGGCATTGTCACCAATTTACTCAGATATAGGTACCTATAAAACCAACTTATATTAGTGGAAAATGAAAAAATCCTTCTAAAGCAAGAAGAAACGTTTCTAAATGTAAGGATCCTTAGATGTGCAATCAATCAGGACCCTACACCTGCACTTGTACACTCCCACATTACCCTACATCTGCACTTGTACACTCCCACATTAGACCTTCAAAATTGACCAGCTTATGTTTTCTCTTCATGATTAGAAGGAAAAATGACTTTAATTTAAGAAATGGAATGAAAACAAGAGAATTTCTAAACAACTAGAAGGAGAGAGTACCCAATAAGTTATTTCTAAATGTAAAGACAAATTACAAAAATTCCCTCCAATGCTTGCATAGAAACAAAATGAAGGTAAACCTAAAAAAAATGAAGGGAAAAAAGAACCTTCTTCTTCCTTGATTATTCAAGCACAATAATGTACTTATTTATAGAGAATTCTGTAACAAAATTCTAGGAAAAAGGATGCCTACAGCAAAAGTGGTGGCACGTCCCACTACCTGCTATTCTAACAAAAAAGAGAATATTTTTAGAAAAAATCTTTCCCAATTACAGACTGTAAATAGTAAATTAACTTCCTACACTCTCCTTCAATTTAGTTTACATATATGTTAAGTAAACTTAGATTGGATATGATGTTCTCAAATATTGATCTCGGTAGCGCCTTTGTTAGGATATCAGCAACTTGTTGATTTGTTGGAATGTGCATAAGGGCTATGGTTCCATCTTCTATCTTCTCTTTGATGAAATGTCGATCGATCTCCACATGTTTGATCCTATAATGATGAACTGGGTTCTTGGTCATGCCGATAGTTGATTGACTGTCACACCAAATTTTCATAGTAGTGTCAGTATGTATTTTTAGTTCTTAGAGCACACATCTTATCCGTATTCCTTCACATATTCCGTGGGCGAGAGCACGAAATTCTGATTCTGCACTACTGCGAGAGACAACTGATTGTTTCTTACTACGCCAAGTGACTAAGTTTCCCCAAACATATGTACAATAGCCAGATGTAAACCTTCTATCTGTTTTTGAACTTGCCCAATCAGCATCTGTAAAGACTTCAACTTCTCTAGTCACTTTCTTCTGGAAGAATAAGCCCTGTCCTGATGTCTTTTTTAGGTATCTCAGATTTTTTACACTGCTCTCATGTTTATCTCAGTCGGTTGGTTCATAAATTGGCTCACTGTACTAACTGCAAAGCTGATGTCTGGTCTTGTGT